GCCAGGCTGGAAAGCACCACGCGAGCCGGTGCGATCATGCGTTTTTGCACTTCTCGTACCATAGCAAAATCGCAAGGAATCACAGTAGCTTGCTCCGTAAAAGTATTTACTTCCCCGAAGTTCGGGAAGTTAATTATGCAGCTATGTGGCATGTCAATTGTAGATGTCGGCTTCGGTGGCCCGACAAATGGAAAGTTGCTAGTCCGCGAAAAAGGCCGCACTAGAAGAGTTAAATTTGAAATGCTTTAGTCGCGCATGAGTAGTGAACATTCCCGCATGAGTAATGAACATAGTGAACATTCAAATTAAAGCCCAGCTTTTCTCGTTTCCTAGTCAGCAGTTCTCAAAAAAATTTTCTCGCCTCCGTACGTGAGTACCGGACGGTTCTAAGGAGCTGAACTTGAAATCTTTTGATCATGCATGAACGGAGAACAGTCCCCTAAAATTTCAGCTTTCTATCTCATTCTCGGGTTAGTGAATTTCCCGCTACGATTTCCACTTGCTGTACGTGAGTTGCGAGCAGTCCCAGGCAACTGAATTTGAAATCTTTTATTCATGCATAGGCAGGGGACATTCTTATAAATATATCATATTTTCAGTGAGAAACTGGCATGTACGGGATTGGCAAAACCATCGGTACATTTGCGCAAAACTGATGTTATTAAAATGTAGCAACACCGCAGGCACATCTATATTTGGCGAAAGCCATGTATCTCCGGTTTGTGCTGATCGCCTATTACTCTCTAGGTGCAGCAGCCCGCCCTGGTGGTCGTTTTCTTTCTCGCTAGGGCGGACCGTTGTCAAGAATAGCAGTACACCCTTTATGATAAATTCCACTTTTCCAAACGACCACAATGGCTTGCTCCGAACCACTCCATAGTCCTGCGCCTCTTCGAATACCCCGTGTTTCACCAATTTTTTCCTTACAACTAAAACTCCTTCCCTAAGCCGGCCGATGGACTCTCGCAAGAAATCATCTCCATAGAATGAATACTAACGAACGAAGGCATATAAAACACCCCGGTCCTTTCAAATCTGTTGACCTACACGGGTCAACCCGTTCCAAAAAATTGTTGCTTGGGCGCTATGATTATTATTAAATTGGCACAATGTACGTTCGTTTCTTTTCACTACAGGATAAGCTGATGAAAACCAGGAGCGAATCGCTGAAGTTCCAGTGCGCAGAGATACAGAGAATACTATTTCAGCTAT